ATACGTGTCTTTAGTTATTTGAGTTTTTTATGAAAACGACAATGTTTTTTAAAAAATAATAAGAGTAAAAAAAGTTTTAGAATTAAATTCCACATGAAATGAGGCAATAATGTGTTAAATCCACCAAAAGGTTAAAAAAATCTGTCAAAATTTAGGAGACCATCACCCTTAATCAACCCTTTGAAATGCCATAATCGGTCTCAATTTGCTACCAATTAATACCTTCAGTACACTCATAACGTATACCAAATTTGTTTTTTCTAGCTTAATGTATTACGAAGATATTCAATGATTTAAAAATTTAAGACCAAACTTTGAAAGCCTATAACTCCTCAGGGGTACAACTTAGTATAGAGATAAATTGCGTTAAATCATCTTAATTTATTGTCCTCTACATGTCCCTGCTCTGTGTCGGTTCTTATGTGAATCACCTGTATATAAAAAATATACTAAATGATTAGTATAAAAATTTTTGATGCCGTACAAAATTAGTATATAAATAGCACAAAACGATGGTACCATCAAAATGCTGATATCTTAACGGGGGTGTAACTGAACGTTCAGCTACACCCCCCACTTTGATATACAGGGTGTATCTGAATGACTGCAACAAACTTCAAGGGGTGATTCTTTAGTGAATTTTAAGGGTACTTTGATATATGAACCATGAGCGACTTCGGCTCCCCTAAGGAGCTACACCCCTCCAAAAATGGCGGAAAATTTTGGTTTAATTTCTTTTTCTCAAAAACCTATAAACGCTAGGAAAATGAAATTTGGGGAATATGTTTAACTCATAATAGGGCACGTTTTGATCCTATTTGTACTTTCAACCTACCCTTCTAAATTACTAAACGTAACCACCCTTTACATTTTTGCTAATATTTTTTTTATGCAGATCATAAATACATTAAAAATTTTTTCCCTAGGTAGATGAAAGTATCCTAAAACTTTTTTGTCTCTAAAATTTTTCCAAAACCGACTAATTTTTGAGAAAAAAAATAATAATAAAAATACTGCACGTTAAACATCGGGGTTGTCCATCAAAAGATGGAATGAATTTTTAATGAAAAAATCTTAGTAGGCTCTATAATCTTTGTCAGAAATATTTTTGACGTTTAAATGTCAGTGTTTTTCTTACTATTATTATTGTTTTTCAAATTAATTTTTAAATAAAGTTCTATCGCATNTTTCATGAGCGAGGTATCAAATGAAAAGGTTTCATGAATACTATCATTCATGCTACAAATGAACTTTTTCCAACGCCATCTTCAATTTCTAGCGATTATCAACTTTTGATTTTCAAATTGCTCGGTATATTTTTCTTCACGCTATTGTATATACATTCTTTTTCTGAACCCATTAATGTACAATACATCAACATTAATTGTAATTGTAGCATAGAAAAACATTAACATAGTTTCCCTTAAAGTCACGTGTGTTATACTGTAGTGTGCCATGGGATAAATAAAAAAACAAACTTATAAGTATCATTTACAACTGCTTCGAGCATTTAAATAGCATTTAATGACTGTTATCAGTTTTGCGTGTTATTTTTTTCCATGACACACTGCAGTATTACAGAAGTGACTAACAATAAGACAATGTTCGGAAAATGTTTTAATTGTTTTTCTCTGCTAAAATTACAATTAATGTTAATGATTTGTACATCAAGGGGTTCAGAAAAAAAATCTCTATCTCATGACGTGAAGAAAAACACACCGAGCAATTTGAAAATGAAAAATTGATAATCGCTTGAATTTGAAGATGGCGTTGGAAAAAGTTTATTTGTAGCATGAATCATAGCATTCATCAAATCATTTCATTTGATGCCTCGTTCATAAAAATCGGAAGGTAAATGACAGCTTGCGGCGTTCTTGTGCGACAACCTGTATATACAGGTGTCTTTTTTGTGCTAAAATTACATTCAAAATGGATGTAATGTACATCAATGGATTCAGAAAAACAATCTCTATCTATTGACGTGAAGAAAAATATATGGAGCAATTTGAAAAACAAAAGTAAATAATCGCTTAAAATTGAAGATGGCCTTGAAAAAAATTTATTTGTAGCATGAATCATAGTATTCATCAAACCATTTCAGGTCATGAAAATCGGAATATAAATGACAGTTACAGCTTGGGGCGTTTTTTGTGTGACACCCTGTATAAAAAATATACTAAATGATTAGTACAAAATTTTTTAATGTAGTACAAATTTAGTTGTACATAATTATGGCAGTATCAAAATACTGATATCTTAAATAGGGGGTGTAGCTGTACGGACCTCTCGAGGTCGATATTTTTAACAGGTTATAACCTGTTAGTTGTAGTTGTTCTGATATTTTAATTTTTTTCTTAATTTCGGTACTTTTAAAATCCCGGGACTTCTTAGTGGTCCCGGACACCCTAGTTATAATATCTCTCATATATTTTATAAACATACATATTATTTAATGTAATATTGTCATTATGTAAACAAATAAATCATTTGTTAGGTAACAAATAGAACCTAAGTTATAGGTATGATAAAAATTTGTTTATTAAAAAAAATTTATTTCATTAAAATGGACGGATATAATAATAGATTCGTTTTAAATAAACAATATAAAATAAGTGTAAGGTCAATATAAAACTTTTGTTACACTATAATCTAAAATATTCAAAACTGAGATTCATAATCATTTGAAATGTACAATAATTAATTATAAGGCACTATAACATTACTTTTATGCATTTTCTTCACTACCAATTTATTAATTGATAATTGTCTTACAACAGACATTTGTAAGATATGGTTTAACAATTTGAGGCATAACTTTGATTTCATGCTGGTGAAGAAATGAAAGTAGTTTTAGTAATTAACACTATCAAGAATGATGAATAAAAAATGTTAATAAAAGTGTAACCCCAACTAATATTTTTGATACAGCATTTCGTCCAGAATTTGACTAAAACAAAAAAAATAATAACAAAAAATTATAGCTAACATAAATACTATATCTTACAAAGATGTAATAGTTACACCTATCTCCTCGACAACAATCAAAACATCTCCAATCTTCATACCAAATGTGTGTACAATGAATCATACTTGCACTACGTTTTTGATGACATTGTGCTTTTGTTGCACACATCTTTGAGATGTAATATTGTTTTTTAGCACCTTCAGTCCAATACGGAGTACTACCCCAGCTTATTTCTGTTAAACACACATCCTGCTCAGTTTGACAAGTCTGCATTGTACTTCCACATTTTTCATTGTTGCTCTCTTGTCTTTCACAAACATAACATTCTAAAGCAGATGCTAAAACCAAAACAAATTTAAATAATCAATTAAACTTAGAAACTCCTTGGTTTATGTTAGTGACTCATGCAAGTTAAGAAACTCAACTTGTTTAAAGGAATAACTTTAAGAAAACCCTAAATTAAGGATACTTACATATATTTATATTACCTACAATTAAAATTATGAATATATACGAAGAAATAAGGGCGTTCATGGTTTTAAAATAAATAATTAAGTTTGTAAACAACCAGAACCCAAAACACACCTATCTTATTAAAATCCTAGACATAGCGATATTACGATTTTTACGTTGGTATTAATTGATGATTAAAAGAAATTAACAAAATTTAAATTTACTAATTATTTAATAAACGTTAATTAAACATTAATAATAACACAAGAATTTGAAATTGTAATAAATTTTAAATAAAATCTGAATTATTTATCCCAAATTTAGTAACTTTCATTTATAAATGTTGCCATTCTTATATTTGACACACAACACAACTTTCACTCACGGTCAAATGTCAAAATGTAATGTCGCTTTCACGTATAGCGCATTTAAAATTTGTTTAGCAACAATTATTTAATAATAGTTTTATAATAACGGCTTAAATATTTATATGTGAATGTTAATTAAAAATCATGGAAGGAACTTTATGGAAATGGACAAATTACTGGAACGGTAATTTTAATTCTTCATTTATTTGATTTTAATAATTCTATTCTTTTGATTATAATATTTACTGACAGGTTGGCAAACCAGATGGTTTGTCTTGGAAAATGGTGTACTAACTTATTATAAATCTCAAGAGGAAGTTAATCAAGGATGCAAAGGATCAATTAAAGTACAAGCTTGTGAAATAAATGGTAAAGTTTTTATTTAAAATTGTTAAGCTGGTAATAATATTTTTAATGTCTTTTAGTGAATTATATTGATATTACAAGGATGGATTTAGTAATTCCTGGCGAACAACATATGTATTTAAGGGCCCCAACATCTCAAGAGCGACAAAAATGGCTTGTTGCATTAGGTACTGCTAAAGCTTGTGTTCAAACTAAAAATAGAAAAGATTCAGGTAAAAATATTGTGTGTGGTTGGAAAAAATTACAGTTTACATCAATAACAAAATTTTGTTGATATAAATTTAACTTAACTTTAATAAAACATCTTTTTGGTGATTCATATCAAAGTTTGAAAGCAAATAATAGGAAATTCAATAACAAAGAAGGAGTGTTTTCACCCTGATGTGAAAGTTTTATAATATACAAAATTCTATTAAATATAATATGCATTTTAATAATTTTGAAAATAACTCTTACTATTATAAGAGGATGAAATTAAACATCAATCTGATGGTGAGTTATGACCTTCTTGAAAATTTTGAACATAGATTAAATAAATTTTATCAATTAAAAAACTACAACAATCTTATCTGCATAAAATTACATATCTAAACATAGTGATGATTTATATATTTAACTCACTATCAGACCACTCGAATTTTACTTTTATCTTTAATTTAAGTAATTATTTATTCAAATTAATAAAAGCAATATGTTGTGCAAGTTAATACTTATGTAATTTAGCTTTATTATGCAGTTTCCATCCACTATATGCATTAGTATGCATCCATGTCAGAGGAACACTCAGGTGGAACCCGAACTATTTGCAGACAGTTGCCCGTTTTTATAATACTCCCTCTGTTCCAAATTATGGTATACATTTCTTTTTACAATTTATCTCAAATTATGGTATACAAAACTTTAGAAACTGCTTTATTGTGATTGTAAAATTAGTAATTCAATTTGTATCATAATTTGAACATACATTAATGAAAATTTTACACATTTAAACACAATTCAGCTGGTTCAATGTAAACGCCCTTTATGACGAAGCTTTTGCTTTTGTTTATGCGTCTGAGAGCAAAAGCGCAAGAGACCAATTTTGTTAAGAATACAATTTGCTACAACTTTCGGTGGAAAAGGTTTTCTGTAGCATGCTCAGATTCAAATTTATTCAATTTTATAGTTGTCTTCTTGGCTTGAACCTATATTTTGGTATTTCCTGGTTTGTACATAAGAAATGGTGTTAGCTATGGTGGCATTGGTTATGAATTATGTTATGTTGATCTATTATCATCAATTTGGAACCAATCAACATGGATCTAATGGCTGGTACAACGTTATCGATAATCATCTTTTTGCATTCTGCTGCGTTAATAGACTCGATGTTTTTGGTCATCATTGTTCCTCTTATCCGGTTCAATAATCCACAATTTTTTCGAATTTTGCTATTTTCGCCGATTAAGTTTTAAAAATTTGTATAAAATCCATATCTTGGAATATGAGTATGAAAATTTCCCAAAGTGTTAATAAAAGTATCCTCTTTTCAATGAGCCAACCCGTTTTGAAAAATAACATTTAATTTTTGAGGTAACAATATTTGAAGTTTTGATAAAATTTTCGATTTTGCAATTTTCATCGATAATTTTCTAAATTCGCTGTTCTATCTCTAAAGACAACGATGTTATCGGCTTGTAAAGTAGATAGAAAAACAAGGGTAATAGTTTGTTGCTGAGAGGTTTGTTGCTGTCGTCGCGCTGGTGATTCAAATATCTCGCCAACGAGGCATTTGCGACCTCATGTATATTAAGACTATTCATCTTAATTTTTCATGTATTATCTACTCTAGAAGTCTCTCAGCGGTTTTTTGAATCATCCTGTATATGTACTATATTCCATACATAATGGACACCTACATAATCAGAAAATACATCTTTTTGTAACAAAATTTATTTAAAAAACATGCCGCAGTTCGATAATATACCTCTTCATCTGGTAGCAATGATACATTTAACTCAAAAAGGTTTCCTGTAAAGTCAGAACACAAGGAAATCTATCGATAACATTAGAAAGACACAAAGGTTTACGACAGGGAGATGGGCGGTCATGGATGCTTTTTAAAACCGCCCTGGAAAAGGTAGTACAAGATGTAGAACATCTGGAACAATATTCAACACGCAGATCTTGATATTTACCAACAACATAGATATTACAGGGACAACAGAAAACGAAGTGAAGAAGACCTTTATAAGTTTGAAAACATAGGCGTAGGAGATAATGGGAAGATTATATAATATAGGACTTAAAGATAAATTTTACAAAGACCAAGCATACTAGAACATTTGGACGTTGGAAATTGAACGACAAGATAGAGACGGTTAGCAGTTTTGTATACTTGGTATCCCTGATAAATAATAAAAATTCGATCACCAAAGAAAATCCAAACCAACAAATGCTTTCATGGGCTTATATTAGTCCTATACAAGACCAGCAATACGACCAGCACTAAGCAGAATCGAGAGGAAAGTGCCTAGAATAATATATGACGCTGTTCATAATAACGATGTCTGACGTCGACTTTACTATAGTAAACGCCACGAGAGCTGGCACTAAATCATCGTTTTCCGCTCTTACAAATGCCATACGTAGTTCACAAACCGCCAGAGAGTAATGTGTGTTAGAAAGAGATAGCATTAGTTTAATATGTCTGCTATACAATTCAAATGGCCACGTCGAAAAAGTACGTCTGTTCTTCTACGGCCCACTTTTACCACCTCTTGATAAATTTAACCGATAGATAATTACCATGGTTACAGCGGTTTTAAGCGCTCTCATTGGCTAAGGCCCACTTTTACCACCTCTTGATAAATTTAACCGATAGATAATTACCATGGTTACAGCGGTTTTAAGCGCTCTCATTGGCTTAGGTCCATTACTACCATCTTCTGGTTAAGCTATCTAAGGGATTATTACCACGGTTACGGCTATTTTAAGCGCTCTGATTGGCTAGTAGATAGGTTTATCTATAAGATAAATTTAACTAAAAGATGGTAGTAATGGACGTAAGAGCGCCAATTTATCTATCGGTTAAATTTTATCAAGAGGTTGTAAAAGTGGGCCTAAGGGATGTAACTCTATAATTATAACCTCAAATCGAAACGTCTTGTGAGCGTTGTCATGAATCTGTGTGTTTTCACAAGCCGAAAATGTTTTCTTTGAAAGGAAAATCATTAAAAAATAATATCTTTGACAATGTTTGACATATAACCTCCATTACTAACATAACCTACATTTAAATGTATGTGGTGAAATAATCTAAGTCGTACGTCCATATCTTGATTCATATCATTTTTAAGCGATCTGTCACTGCCAGCTCTCGTGGTTTCTATATATGTCGAGTTGTATCTTCTATATTGCGAACCAAAGATATTTAAATTTATCAAATTGCAAAGGGATCTCCTTAATAAATTTACCTTAATCCTGAATTTGCGTTCTCAAAATTATGAACAAAACATGGCGAAAATAAAAGCGTTTGTTATGCAAACAGCTTTAGAACCTGTGTATCTATAAAATCATATGAACGCAATCGTATGGTTTTGATCCCTACATGTGACTCCGATATTGTGTGGCGATACAGCTTTGGACTATGAGGCACTTTTTATTTTGAGTATAAATACGGTCTTGGTCCTTAAGGGGTTAAACAACCAATATGCCTCTTACACATTGCTCTCATTATCTACCTACACATTGTCGCAAATTGTTCATGACAAGTTAAAAGTATGTTTTTGCTGGTTACAGCCACTTAATCTTCTATTCTTCCTGATACATACACAACACAAATTCGTCTTTGTAAATAAGTGAGGCGAAAAATTGGAGAGATCATTTTGAATGTATGGAAGCTTTAAGAACAGATCCCTTATAAAATCTATACATTGGTATGAAAACTGGAGGTCAATTTTAAGTAAGAAGAAGAAGAAATGTTCTAATCTCTGTGTCGTGTCTCCTGAGCTTCTTCACTTATTTGTCTTGATTGGTATTGGTACTTTTTCAACGATTTCTTTACTATGGAGAAAAAGTTTGTGGAGGGTTTTTGATGTCTGGAATAGGATTTTTCTAAATCTTTCCAATTTATACTTACGATATAACAGCAAAGCTGTAAACAAGGATGTTGATTAGTGCGCAAAAAAAAATCGCATCCGAATTACACATAAAATCAAGTCTTGTGGCAGCAACTTTAACTTTGTTTTGTGCCTTCTGATCTTCTTCACTTAATTGTTGTTGACTTCTTTGCCATAGAGCAAAAATTTATGACGAATTTCTGATGTGTAGGAATAATTCAATTTATACTTGCGATATGACTGCAAATTTGTAAACAAGGGCGTTAAAACCGGAGGCTAGGAAGGGCATACCACCAGTGTTGTAGAAAAAACTTCTTTCTCATTGGATATAGAAACTGCAGAAACTTCCTTGTTCAATGAGTTACATACTATATTTAATGAGTTTGATTTGGATTTTTATGTAGACAAGACTGGAGTTGCAGTAGAGATTAATTGAAGTTGATAGTTTGGTACCAAACAAAATTTATAATTGAGTTATAATTAAGAGTTGCAACTCTTAAAGCATCTTCTAAATGTAATGGAAGGAATACAGAAGAAACCCCTTCCTTTCGTTTGTGGTACTCACGTTCTCGCTCTTCGTGGGAAGGAATCTGTCACGAAATTTGATGGACTTGGCAGACAAATCGTCGATGAGATAAAGAAATGTCACGGTTTTTCTGTTTTGCCTGATAAAATGACTAAAATACGATTAGGAGAATTCTTAGGATTTAACTTCGGCGTCACTTTTTCCCCAAAGGATCGCAGATATACAAAATATTTTACAGGGTCGCTGATATGTATGGAAACGGTCGATTATTTCCTAAAGTAAGATAGCTAGCAAAAAATATTAAGATACAAAAGTTTTAGTGTTTTTAAAAATCTATTACAATAAAGACAAATTAAGTATACAAGGTCAGTTAAAAAGTTATGACGAAACAAAGTAACGTTTTCTTTAATGAAACACCCTATATTATTAGATATTTCGGTTCATCTTGAAACTCTAAACAAAATTCATGTAGCACATAAACCTAAATTTAACCGTTTTCGAGATGTTGAACATTAAATCATTCTTATAGATTACACAAAATTATTTTTATAGCTGATCAAGTTATCTTTGAAAGTTTCTCATTTCTATAGCAACGCAATAACATAACACATGTCAAAAATACGAAAGTTTGAATAATTTGTGCCCAAAGATAAATTACGGAACTAATTAGATAAATTCGTAATTTTCTCAAGCTCTCGATGCCTGGAAAACGGTTAAGTTTAGATTTATGGTGTGCTACATGAATTTTATTTAGACTTTCGAGATGAACCGAAATAGGGAATCATATA